ATTCTCAGTATTCCTTATAAACACAAAAATATCCCAAAACATTGCTTTTGTCGGCGACACTTCGAGTGAATTCATTGTTTTTGTTAGTCAGGCGACATTTTTCCTTGTATTTTACTTGTTTTTACTTTTTTGTCAACATTTTCGACGCTGTTAATGGTCCACAACGTTTTCTTCAACGCCGCCCCAACCGCCTCCAAAAACACCCATCAAAACAACCCACTTCCCCTCTTGAAAGAATACTGATAAGCAGCGAAGCAGCGATGAAAGCGGAACACAGACCAAACCCAAACGACATTATCATAATTGCTTATGCTTCATTACATATTTGCGGGCGAGTACGACTACATGGTGGTCATACAGATAGGCTTAAAGAGGGCCCCATGCCCCATGCCCCACCCCCAATCCCCTACTCAACGAAGCGAACCTAACCAAACACGGTAGTCGTCGGCGAAGCAGCCAAAGCAGCCTTTTGTCGACTCAGCTCCGAGTCAGAGACAGAGACAGAGCCAGATACAGATACTCGTACAGAGCCAGAGCCATAGAGCCCTGGCAATCGGCTGAATCGAGCTGAAAAAAACATAATCATTGAATAAACAAGCTGATAAAACAAAAGCCACATAAATAAGCGCAAATATTTGAGACACTGAGAGCATACGGTCATGTGCCCACACATAATGGCAGACACAGATACAGATACAGATACGAGTACTCGTTCACAGATACAGATAGAGATCGCCAAAAGGCTTAGGATTCGGAATTGGAAGCCAAATCGGAGACTCGAACTGCGACTTCGACTGGAAGTCGGATCCAGACTGGAACCCCGCTTTTTAGTCGGTCAGGCTAACGGTAACGGTTTATTGTATGTCCGGACTGAGGCACAGTTACGAGGCACACAACACGCCCAAGAAGGGCATGGTCTCCATAGACAAAAGAGCGTCCATCCGCATCTAAAAATCATCGCCATGTGTGTCCATTCGCTTTTTTCCCCATCTTTTTTTTGCTGTAGCTGTAGCCGCCTTACCCCGTGACTTGGCGATTTTATTTTCGCTCCATTTGTGGCCATAAATATTCAGTCAAGTGTCATCGTTGTGGCATGTCTAGTGGAGTTGGAAATGAAATAGATGCTGGCCAAAGAGGGGCCCACTCCGCCAGTCCGCTAGCGAAAAAAAAGCGAAGCGTACGAGAAGGCTTAAAACGAGTTAAGTCACTTCTGTGGCCGCGACCAAGTGGCCTCCTCCAACCAGCAACTCCTCTCCAGCTCCACCCGGACTTCCATCTGTCTGCCAATTGCCAATTGTGGCAGCGGCAAAGATTGTGTGCCCCGACCGTTGTTGTGGCTGTGTGTGACCACAGCTGAGACCACGACCCGCAGGAGTTGTAGGAATAAAAAAATATTGAGAACCGAACAATGTGGCCGGCGAACACACACATTGGATAAGCCGGGGGTCTATGGGGGACAGAGTTATGGCATTCCAAAAGTGCTTGAAATGGCTTAGGGCCGTGCCACAGCGTGGGAGGTTGGATGAAGTTATCAGCCGAGTAGATGAATAAATTTAGCCAAGTGTTGGCATAACCTGTAGCCAGGGAGGCAATGAGATTATCATCGATAAACACGAACGATTGTTGAGTAATCGAATGGGGGAAAACAGGGGAAGACAAATGGAACGTTGAGTGGTTTGAGGGATGATTGAGAAAATGAATAATCTCAAAGTAATTAGAAAGGATTTGGGCTGAAAATATACCAACCAAGAGATGACCGATTCCACTTCCAAATGAATTAACAAACCATAGACTTTACTCTAGACTCAGACTCAGAAAAAGTGAATGTTTGGTGGAAGTTTGAACCATTTAACCGCTAAACGTTTAAGGAAAACTCCCCAAGCAACCCTCTCTCGTCTTCTTCTCCGGCACAGAAACACTTGCGGAAGTGCAATGCATGTAAAAGTCATGAATATGATGAAGTATTCAAAGCAGCCACAGACACACTCACAGACATGCCCACAGACTCTTATGCTCCGGTCCTTTGGCTCCACAGGAAGCTGCCAGGATTAACAGGCCACTTGAACACGATTAAGCCCGAAACGAAAGAGATGCATAGAGGCAAAAGAGGGAGATGGAGAAATAGCAGCACTCCAGAACGAAAGAGTTATTGAGAGATGCTGGCGGGAACAGTTTACGAGTACTAATCATTGGGCACTTATCAGGCAATGACCATCAGTCTCGACAGATAGCAAGAATTATTATCTCTCCGGCTCTCCCTTATATGTATTTGCCTCTCTTTCCGTCTTAATGTAGCGCTCTTTTTCTGTCCGCTCAATCATTCGCACGTGCTCGGGGGCTAGAGCGGTTTGTTCACGCTCAATTTGCATACATTTCATTTGGCTGGGTGAATGCTTCTCTTTCTCTCTTTCTAACCAGTGTATACCTTTCTCTCTCTAGCCCCCCACCAACCTCTGCGGGGCCCACTCACCTCCTTGGGCAAATATTCATTGCCTGAATTATATATTTGTTTCTTTTCGGTTTTCGGGTTTGCGGTGGATTGCGGTTTTTTCAAAGTGCACGGCTGGGTCACGTTTTTGATATTTCATTCAATCAAAACAAATTGCTGGCTGGACCAGGGACCAGGGGCTTTTAAATAAATAAAAATACATACAGCCAAAAAACCAAAATCCCCCCTCTACCCACAAAAAACCCAACGGCCAAAATCTTTGTCTTGCGGTTAAACTTTTTTCAGGTCGTTAGGCAAACGACCGTAAAATATGCCCAGATCGTAAAAGAACAAAATTAGATTAAACATCATAAAAATGTAAGTCCCAGTCAATTAGATTCTATACGCAATGTATTCCAGGGCGTAGGCGTGCGCGTGGGCGTGGCCCGAAGGAGTTTTTAAAATTACCGATTCCTTCGCCGGCACTTTGCTAATTGACAATTTCCCGACCAGTAAAGGAAAAACTTTCCCGTACGCGCTTCCTTCGCTTCGCTCTGCTTTTCTTTCCTTTTCCTTTCTGTAATAACCCTAAAGTCAGTCATTTCGTCTAAGCCATTAAAAAATTAATTGACTGCCTTCCCTTCGGGCCATGAACACGCCCCATACATCGCACTAATGCCGCTTTTAGCCAAGTTAAATGTTTCCCACCGAAAGCTCCTGCCCATACGAAGAGGAAGAGCACAAAAAAGGGCTTGTCGCCGTCGAAGTCGTACCAAAAAACCAAACACATAAAGACCGAAACAAGAAGAATGTTTGGAGAGGCTAAGAAACCAGAGAAAAGCCAACTATAGCAAATGAAAACTGGAAGAGAAAAGGTTAACAATCTAACCAGAAGGTCGGATACTCTTACATGAGATATTGACTGTAACGAGGGGGAGTTTTTGATTGTTTAATATCATATTTCCGTATTGTATTTCCTTTAAAGATTACTATAATAATATGTGATATTCAGCTCCCTTTCATAATTGTCCTTTCTGCAAACTTTTTCCAGAACTTCCCACAATCCCTTCCGTTTCTCATTACCAACTTCCCAACATAAAATTTAATATACCCCTTTGCCCTAAGGGCATTCGAAACCGTTTAATCTTGGCACAAACTTCTAATTTTTATTGCTTCGCCTTTGTTGTTGGCTTTTTGTTTCTATTTTTTCAACAGTTGTTTTTCCGTCGCTCGTTTTGTTCGAGTGGTTTTTTTTTGGTCGCCAATTGTTTGCCTGACCTTTTGTGGCGACTCCTCCAATTATGAAGTATGGCTATCTCTTTCGAATCCGCATTGGCTATCTCTCACTCACTCACTGAATCATTCCAAGCTCAATTTGGCGCAGCTTTGTATTTGGTTTTTGCTAAATTTGTTCCATTGTTCATTGTTATTTTTGGCGTGTGGGTTGACTGCACTGACGCAAGCTTATCGATGCCCCATAGGGCTAAAAAAATATACTATAAACTGTTTACAGATACTATATATGATGCAGATATCTGTTTAGATAAGATAAGATCTTGTGAATAATTCCTACTTCCGGTCTGGTGGTGGACGACCTTCCGGAACCTAAGCAATTGATATCAATTAGTGTGTGGCAAGTGAATCATTCATGAATTCCTAATTGATAAGTCAAAAGGTTCTGATTAAACCCAGACATGAATAGATGATTGGGAGAATGAAAGAATGAAACAGTGAAAGAGAGAGGAGTGCTGGTGGCTAAGGAAGGAGGCAGCCATAGAGTGTGGAGCATTGCACTTTACGTATATTAAGTCGAACGAGTCGCACGTTTCTCACATCTGTTGAAGGAAGGCATTTTTATGCACTTCATTTATGAATGACAGCCATAGCCATCTCTCATCGCCGGTCTCTCTACCCCACATCCAGGCCAGTGTCAGGGAAAAAGCGCAAAAGCAAACAAAGTACGTAGGAAAGACCCTGGCAACCCTTAACCATATACAGAGTGCCCTGCTCCCTGTGCCTGTGTGTGTCCTGCCACTCCATCCAGACAGTGTGCAAAATTTTAATGAGTTGGAAATTTAATACCCAGAGAAGATTGCAATATGATGGGGCTGCCACGGTCTGCGGTAGGTCAGCGCCCAACGAAGCGCAAGCAATTCAATTTTTCCCTCGACGAACTCTTGAATTTTTCATCAATTTTCGCATTCAACTTAATTGAAATTGAAAAAAAAAACACTGAGCGCAGAGCGCAGCAGTCGGAGACTTACATCTGGCACGGCACCACCTTGAACTTGACTTTTGCTCTGAACTAGAGATTGTCGTCGTTTGATTCGACTTTGTCTAACTTCTGAGCGACTGGAATATACTATATATGTACCTAGTAATTTCCCAAGTGGTTTCAGGCAGTTTCCATATCAGGGAATTGCTGCTTCCGGCTTCTGGGTACCCTCGCACAATGCGCAATTTCTCTCAGATAAATCTTTTCAGTCGCAGTTTACTCGTTTACTCGTATTTATGATTATTTTTAGCACATTTTGAGCCCAATTCTTATTCGTTTCCTATCTTTTCATTGCAGTTCTTTCTGTGGCTTCAGCTTCACCGGAAATGTAAGTTGCCCCAAAAAATCACTTAACCCAAATCCGCATTTTGTGCAAAAATTAAACTTGAAACCGAAGTTTATTGCGCAATTTTATGTGCGACTCATTTTCATTATCATTGCGATTTCAGGTCACATGATCCTAAACTTCGTTTACGGCTCTAATAATAATTAGCCAGCAAAACGTGTTGGAAACTCGTTAAAAATCTTCAAATGTGCTTCCATTTTGAGAGTGCTACCCCTCTCTCTGTGGTAGTGGCGGTGGGACTACCTCTAATTGTAGTTTTAACTCTCTGACATAATTTATGATACTTCAAAGTTTCTGTTTTGCTTTTGTTTTGGCTGTTCTGCAGTCTCTACCTGCTGGACTGGGCAGAAAATTCTGAGAACTTTTAAATTGTATATTGAATAGCAGCATAAAGAATTTTTCTAACTAAAATGGCACACGAGATTTATGAATGGAAGTGGAGATTTTTTGATACGAGAATCATGAGAAACAGTTGGAAGGAAGTGGCATTGAAAGGGAAATATAAGAACTTAACGAGCAGAGAACCTAGAATTTTTGTTATGTGCTTGGCTAAGACATTTTTGCATTAATTTCTGTTGCATTTTTCCCACAGTATTTTAGGAACTATTACAGTTCTATAGTGCCACAATTTTCTCTGCCAAAATCCCATTCAGTTGACACTGCCATTGAGTTTCCAGTTCCATTTGGTGTCACCTTCAGAGCATTCTATATACCCGCACCGCTGTTTATTCCCTGTCAATATTTTCTTACTTTTTGTTTGCTACTTTCCACTGATTGCACATGCAATTCTCGATTCTCGCAAAAATTCATTACGAGCGTTTCGTTTATGCAATCGCATTGGCGTGCCAGTCCCGAGCTGTTTATATATTTATATCCGAGAGATACTTAGACATGGATTCATAATACATAGATATACAATAATATTTTGCAAGTAACTGTAAATGAGTGTCACGTTGAATGGAATGGTTTGAACATACAATAAAGAGGGGGTTCCGGGGGTCTATTATCTCTGGGGGTGATTCTTTGGAATAGCACACATGTTGACCTCCGGCTGTCGGGGCAGCCACAGACATTCATCGTTCGGTTCTTTATGGTGGGAAACAAAACTTTGCATTGATATAAAAATTAAAAATAATTGTGATGATGATAATGATGATGATGACGTTATTGTTGTTCCCCAAGTTGCATATTTAAGCATTTATTTTTACTGTTTGTCGACATCTGATGACATCATCCACCCAAATTGCAGGCTTCCATCATTTAAAGTCGGGTTTGCTTTATACAATCCCTTTAAACAGTAATTTTTAAAGATTTTTCTGTATATAACTCTTCATTTATTAAGTCGTGCGCTTTGGGAGCTTCGAGCATGATTAATTAAACGTTTCATCTTTGATTTATGGAAGCATCAATGTATTTTAGTTGGGTGGCCAGTGGCCTCTCCATTTACCCTGGGGCGTGTTGTGAGTGTTTCCTCTGTAGACACCATTTATTCCGAATTTAAATTCAGAATTTGTATTTATTTTAAATTATAATCAAAGCAAATACAAACATTGTTTCCATTCATGTCTTTTTTTGTGCGTAAACCAATTTATTAAGGCTTAGCCAGACATTCGAGACATAAATTGAATTATACGACGCGTGCCAGGCGGACAGACCACAAAAATGTCTATAATTTAAACACGGTGCAGGGTATGAAGGAGTTTGAATGGACTTTGGGGATAGGTGGGGACGTGCAGAGCAACAAAGTACAGCACTTAATATGAGATTACACTTACCCGGCGTTACTAGGCAATTTTCCAGGGAAATGAAAACCTCTCCGTGGATTTATCTGAAAGAAATTAAGCATAAGAGCTCATTAATCGATCCATATCTAAGCCCTCTAGATAATGGGTATGAGATACTCCAAAAAGTGGAGTATTTGTAACATTCTTTTTTGCGTTGCCTACTGCCCACAGACAGGTGCAATTCAAGCCAATCGGGTGTTCGGGTTTCTGTGGGTATTTCTTTTGTAAGGCCTGCCGCAAAAATGCGTTTACGCCGCCTCAATGCAATCGGGCAACAGCTTTTTGTTTTTGGTTTTTTTGTTTGCAAAAATAAAAACAGTTGCGTAGCCGGGGCTAAGCCCACAAGCCTGGCGATGAACACAGATATCGGAAAATTGGGTTAAGCAACCTGTACCTGTACTGGCACTTGTAGCTGGCTGCCAGGTGTCTCTGTGTGTCTCCGTATCTGTCATCAGATCCACACAATTTTTTCTGTTTCACTTTTTGCTCAATGAAAATGAAAGCAGGTCTCCATGAGACCAGTGTCGGCAATCAAGAATACAAGTGGGTCGAAGATTTTCGCCTCGGCATGTGAAAGTGAAAAGCTGTGTGGAAAACGCTGACCACCAGAAAGACACTATGCTGATGACAACACTTAGTGCTTGCCGGGCACCGGGCACCGGCTACTGGGCTGTAAGCCCTATTTCCCCCTATCTCTCTCATTACAACTAATTTGTTTATTTTGCTTTGCATTCATTACGAGTACTACGCTCTGGTGTCTGTTGCTGTTGCTGTTGCCCCAGTGGAGGTGTCAACGTGGGAGAATCGCTGTGAAAGTCTATGGCATTTGTGTCATGTTTTCCCCCCAAAAAGGATTAGCCAGAGCCAGAGCCACCAGCCAAACGCATTTGCATGACAAGCTGTCGGAAGCCCGGCAATCGATTCACGCAACATGCCCCAAAACACGATTTGATTATACCCGTACCTGAGCATACGAGTATATATACGATAAATATATATATGTGTATTTGTTTGCCATCATCCAAAGACAAATCACTTTTACCTGTTTCTGTCTGTCGTCTGCCACTTGGGTTACATATCATCCACAGATATAGAGGCTGTCTGCCGAGACCTGCGTTTGGGCGGTGTCCCTGGTTGATGTTGGCTTGACTTTCTACCCCAACCAGTTTTTTAGGTTTTCTGCAGATTTTTTTTTTTTTTTTCTCTGCAAAATTTATTGGTAATACAAATTGCATGAACAATTTCCAGCAATAGCCAAGGCGAAAGTCGTCCAATGGAATTGGAATTGGAATTGGAATTGGGTTTATACGATCAGGTACCCATATCTCTATCTATGAACACATTTCAATGAGCATTTCTTTCAACACACTTTTTGGTTAAGGCGTTGTCTCATGGCTGTGGAGTCGGAACCTTAATTAAAGCCAAGTCTGCCCCGCTTTGGCACGAATTTCATTCGAAGTGGGAACCGCATTGGGGCTATCATTAGGCTGGGGCCTGATCAATAATTGTGGAGATTATGGCCAGAGTGCGTCAGCGGAGGCTATGGAAATTATATGAAATTATTATACAGAAAGCGTAAGATAATGCTTATTCGGAATAACGATATAATCTGTGGAATCTACGATAGATTTGTGGTTGAAAATTATGAACTTTTCCACCAACAGAAGTGGGAACATTTTTAGAAAAAACAAAAACCATTTGGCGAAGTTTTTTATGGCAAATACTACAAAGAATTGTCTGCCATAAAAAAGTTTACCATTCACTTCCTTAATACGTTGAACAAAGTCAGAACATAAAGTACAACCTTCATTTGTTAGGTAATATTACCTTAAAGTATTATTTACCTCGAATAAACTTCATGAACTTCATTTGCAATTTAATGCTCCACAAAATTTAAATATACTTCATAAAAAATGTAAAGTAGACGCTTCATTTGCCATTTAATGATCCCCAAAAAACACTTCCCCTACAATTTTCCACATCAAAGGAAAATATAAATTAACAACCAGTTTCCCATTTAGTTCCTTGCTGTCTTTCTTTTTTTTTTGTGTGCTGTGCCCTCCTGCAAATTTGATCAACCTTTCATTAAACATAGTTTGGTGATGCGAAGCTTATCGGTTTTTTTGCAGCCATTTTTTATGGCCTGGCCAGAGACAGAAAGCGTAATAAACGACAGTTGCCATGGCAGGAAAGCCAGTATTCAGAGGGTCGCCCACTAGGGAGGAGGAGGACGAGGAGGAGGAGCGAGTCTATTGTTTAAGCGTTGTCAATATGAAATTCGCATAAATCTTGTTGGTGGAGGGAACAAAAAAACAGGGAGAAAATATATATATTTGCTCTACTTATTTGCATAGATTGGGGGTCCGGGTGCGGGTCCGGATGTGACAAAATATATGTTCAATGTTCCATATTCAGGGCATGTCACGTGATTTGATGAAAGTCAAACTCAATTTTTGACACGATATAACACATATGTACATTGTACATATATATGTATACATATCTGCCATATGTATAACATGGTCATATCAATAAATTCAAGGCTTGTCGGCCAGTAAATTGAAATATTTTCGTTCTAACCAAAATGTTCTTTCTTATCATCGCATTGCAGGCGTATCTGATTGGAATGCGGTTTGATTGGTTTCTTTCTTGCGATAAAGCTTTAACAAGATTTTTTCTTCTTTTTTTTTTTAAATTATGTCTGAGAGTGTACCCAAGCAAAAGAAAGGAATGTTTCCTGCCACTTTTGAATTATGCGATTCCTCCCAAAAAAAAAAGCAAAAAGGAAAAGATTATAAAAAAAACTTGTTTTGGGGCTTGGGCTTTGCCAACAGGAAACACGCGACTGGAATCAGGTTTTCTTTCCCCCTGAGATGATGATGATGATGATGACGGCAGGTGAATGAGAACTTGTTCTCCTGTTCACACAGACCCGCTAAATGGAAAGTTCAGGCCTTATCGGTAAAATACAAATGATTCGCAAAATTAATGCTAATTCCGCATTTGCAAAACAAACATTGGCCGGACGTACGACCTTAGGAAAATGTGACGGACGAACAGCAGTTGTTTTGCACTTAAGATTCGTCTCACGTTTACAGAGCTCTATGGGCCCTTGAACATCAGCAGTCTATATAATGTCTGTATAATCCCATTCCCATTCCAAGCCAGTGCCGGGGCATGACATTTAAAATTTGACCA